TGACTAGTCGGCGGGAAATCGCCTTTGGCTGCAATGTGATCGGCACGGATGGCAACGCTGCGGTCTAAAGCGCGTTTTGCCTGTTCCTTTGAGATACTTTTAAGAAATGCTTTGTCATCTACACCATGATTCGTTGACATGGCACAAACTGTCTGTAGTCTTGAGCTGCGGCGTACAGCCACAAGCACCGAGATAATCTTCAGACGTAGCATTCCTATTTAAGAAATAGGAAACTTCTAAGTAGCAATACATAAATTCGACAAAGTTCGAAAATGAAAAATGTTAAGATCGCATCAAAACCTTTGAAGTAAAAAAGCGAGAAGAAAGTGGAGAAGGAAACGACAAGTTGACGATGAATGCTTCAGATGCTGACCGTCAGATTAAACAGATGGTGAATTTCATCTTGCAAGAAGCTCAGGAGAAAGCAAATGAAATTCGAATTAAGGTAAAAAGAGAATTGTATGTCGAGATATATGTGTCAATTTTAATGAGAAGACTTTACGTTCTTTCTTCTCTAGACGGAACATGACTTTAATTTGGAAAAGCAAATGTTAGTGCACAATGCAAAGATTAAGATTCAAGAGGAATATACACGCAAGGAGAAAGAGCGCGAGATAAATAAACGCATGTAAGTGGGCTGGATTTCTTGTCTTGATTTAGTGACTGAATTATTATTTATCTAGTGCGCGCTCGGCTGAGATTGGCGCGTCAAGACGACAGAAGATGATTGCGCGTGATCAGCTCTTAAAGACGCTTATTGTGGATGGTCAGACTCAATTAAAAAGTTACACGACTAATGACGAAAAGAACAAGACGCTGCTACGTGATTTAATTGTCCAGGGTCTGATTAAATTAACGGAAACGGACATCGTGGTTGCTGTACGTGCTAAGGATGTACATCTTGCCGAAACGGTTCTAAAAGAAGCTACGGACAAGTATATTACTACGATGAAAAGAGAGGCCAATATGGACGTGAGCAAGGTCAAAGTTACCCTTAATAAAGCTGCAGATGGTATGCTACCTGAATCGAAAGCTGGTGGAATTGTGTTGTACGCAAAACAGGGAAAAATTGTGTGCGATAACACTCTGGACACGCGTCTAGATCAAATTTACTATGATTTGAAACCCACGGTACGCAAGATGTTGTTTCCAGCTGCGTAGCAATTCGGAGAAATTGAGCGCAAGGTGCATTTTGACATTTTTCAGTAGTGCAATACTTAGAAACTAAAAGGTAAAAATTTAATTTTAACCTTTTAATTAACAATTTCACAGTAAGGAAAATGTCAACAATGTTACTGTAATAAATTCTGCAATGTCCATTCCTGCCATGAGATTGTTTTCTGCTCAATACTAGCAACAGACTGCTCATCAGTTAATGGATCAATAGGAAAAATTGAACTGGTCTCGGGCTTCCACATTGCCGAGAATGGTCCGTAAGCGACACTTATCAAATGCACATCGTCGACTTGTGTAGATGTAAAGTGCCAGTCATTTGATTGCTGTCCGTCTAAAATGATATTCCATTGATCATCTCGACCCAATTTTACTTGATTAAATTCAGCACGTAGTAAAGAGAACCCCAATCCAACTCCAACTGCTTTTATATACGCTTCCTTGAGTGACCACAGTCGATAGAATCGCTTGTACTGATCATCCTCTTCCTCAATGGAGCTTCCGCGAATATATTTCCACTCTCTTGGATTAAAATGACTTTTGAAAGCTCGAATAAAGTCATGGATTGATGTTGTTTGATTAGGGCGATCAGTGAGCCGCACGACATCTACGCCAACCAAAGCACGAGAATCACTCGCGATTGCCACAATCGTACCATGATGCGAGACATTGTAATTCCATAATAAAGGTGCAAGACTATTTCTATCACGATTCCAATATGGTTTGTTCTACAAACATGGTAAGTTAGCAATTTAATATATAAATCATCGGGAATGCAATACCTCTGGCGTGCGTGCAATTTTGATGGCGTCATAATTTAGTCCAGATACTTCCTGGATGAGTTTTCGCTGCAGCAAACGACTGCCAAGAGCCAATTTCTGATCCTTCTCAAACACATAACGCATCACTTGCTTTTGATCGTGGTCGGGTAGCTGGAGCAAAAGCTGATGCCATTCTGTCGACGATGTATCCCAATTTGCGACGTTTACATAGCACTGACGACGCATATTGAAATGCAGTGCATTCATTGGCTAATAAGGAAATTTGATCTACAATTTCCTCTAATCCCAAAATTTCGAGAGTGCAATTATTATAGAAATACCTACGGTGAATTTCATGAATATTTGGAGTATGATGTGAATTTCGTACAATAAAGACATTTGTAACTTTAATAAAAACACTGCGCAAAGTTACTGCGCCCTGAGCATTCACTACGTCTTGTACTTCCACTTCATTCTATGCACATTACTGTTCTTGTTTTTATGAGCGTATCTGCACCGGAAGAGCGCTCCAATACAACCAGTTAAGTGTCTTAATAAGTCCACGCCAAACGCGCGTTGTTTGCGACGAACGCGCTCAAGTTACTCAAAGAGATTTCCTCAAGAAAAACAGTCCCAGTGATGCTCCGAGTCTCGACTTAATACCTCACCGGGCGATAAACGGCCTAATTGTAAATCCAGGAAGAGTCGCTCAAAGCTTCCAGTCTCTCCACTGCTCGGATCTAAATCCATCAGTCCTTTCATGGCATCACAAAGCTCGAAAAGTTAATGTCAGCAGCCACCAATTCTGGTTAATAAGCTTTAGTTCACATGAAACAAGCCATTTCTAAAGCTGATTCATATCGACAACGTCCTCCATGAGGTACAACAATACAAGATTCTTTCCCAGCAAGCTCCCTGCTCATACGGGTACTTGACATTCCACTGTGATTGTTTCGGCGTTAGTCCTTGTGTGAGAGCCTGACTCCCTGTATTCCTTTGCCGAAAGAATAGTGAGCAGACAATGCGCAATTGCGTATGTACTACGTTAGTGGAGAAACGAAGTCCGTCGCTTCCTGCGCTCTAAGAAAATTTGAAGCCCCCATCCTGCTCTCACGGCACGGAAGTTATCTTCGAATTGATCACAAAGCGCTCTGCGTTTGATCCGCACTCATCTGCAGCTACCCATGAAGACTGTATTCGCTACTGTCATTGTATGAGAATCAAAGTCCATTGCGGTTATATGGCTCCCAGAATTCTGGCCATAATCTGCTATTTATCACACTCTTTGACAACCATACATATATGTTGAGCCCACCCGATACGCCGGCGAGCACTTGCGAGATATGTTGCTCTCCGCCTCTTTTCGTAAAGTTTGTTCGAAATTGACTATTTTTACGCGGAGTTTCTAACGTGAAAATCCAGGTACGACGCATTGTGGCTCTATTTGAAGCAAGATCGAATCCATATTCATCTCAACATCCCTCATTAAGGGGAAAAGAGTTTCTCCAATTCAAACCTCAAAGACCATCACGCCCCGCATTAGCTATCGCTCGGTGGTTTTTATTGATCCTCCGCCGACATTTGTTACGGTCGGATACAGTAAAAAATTCTTCTCACATCGCGAAAAGAGTGCAAAACCTCCTGTGTATCATTCAAATTAAAGTCTCTGCTGATCTAAGAAACCATTCTATCATTCCTTGAAGCTGAGATTCCTTCTGCTAAAGAGCACAATACGCCCCTGAGCGGCTGAAGATATATGAAGTCTTTCAAGCGATGGCATAGTTCAGATAGCTCATTCAATGCCGATATTGGTTGATCCATTATCGGCCACACGCCAGACTTCCAAAGAATGTCGACGTGCCATCTATTTCAAGAGGGGTCATGAGTGACAGAGCGCAATCTGAAAGGGGTGACTTTTAACCATATGGGACAATTAGTAGACCGACGAATTCACCAAAGATGTAGCCAGTATCGAGCGATATGAATCTTACGAGTGCGACCGAATGACCTTAAACATTTGTCGTTTAGTCGTAAGCGGTAGCTCTAGAACTTTGTGTCATGCGCGGTTCGAAAAGCTCGTGATTTATATTTCACGTACGCTCCGCGTTAAAAAAAGCTGCAGTTGCAAGCACACACAGGCGTGGAAGGGTTGCTTCGCGGCACGGATAACAGCTTTTGTTAGATCGGGTCGATCAAATTCACTACATAGTCATGAGCGACCCAATTGTAGGTTGCCATGACTTTTGTGTTTGTAGACGCGTATTTTGAGCTCACCTAGCTAGGTCCAGTGCATTTGGAGCGAGCTGACCCTCGTTGTCATGCTTGTAGCGGGACACCCTAGTATTCTTCGTAGATGTACTCAAGTCACGTGCCTCAGAGAGGCTCCATTGATGGGAGTCGGCAAGCCGTATAAATTTGCAGGTAGTCGTGTTAGAAACGAGTGATTCTATCTAAATGAGTTCCTCACAAGACAACTCGCTTTACTCATCGAGCAAAACTTTTATGATGTCGGCCAATTAGCCGCATCTATCTCAGTGGCTCGATGAGTCATTTTCTCAACGCAACAGATGATGGATACCTCCTATCTTGGCGGCTGACCATGAAACTTACATGAAAACATAATTGTCGGGTGTTTAGACAAGACATAAGGTTTGTGACCGCAACACGATTGCAATTTCGCAGAAGATGGAGTAATGGGGTATATTTATTGAGGTGATCGCACATATTACACTATTGTCCTCCGGATTTCAACGCAGCAGTGTCAATGTAAACTTTTTTACATCCACAAATCCTTCTCTTCAATCTATTCCAAAACTGGGTTCCACCACTTAATCTACGTATACCACACGATCAAGTTGTGACATCGTCATAACCTTCCTCACTCAAAGCGTAATCACCTCATACGAAGCGTGTGATACATTCCCCGCGTACGTGCTCCATCAACCTCATCACCTTCAATTCAATCTACAAAACCACATCATCAACTTCTTCTTTTTACCCAAAAAATGGCCTCAAATCCAAGTTCTCGTCTTAATGGCATCTTTCAAGACACGTCGTCATCTGGTGGTGGGAATGATGCATTACGATACACAGCACCACGAGAGCCATCAACAAAACAAACACAAGTGGTACAATCTACATCTTCGACTCCAACATCCACATCAACACCTTCGAGTGTCGTATACTCCACAATGGTTTCATTGTATCAATACGATGCTAATACACGTCAATACATTCCACAAGGAGGTTCTACAGTCGGTACAAAAGCAGCTGTAGGTTGTGTCATTGTTGGTGCTGATACAACGTATAATTTACTTCTCTATAATGCTGCGAAACATCATTTATGTGCTTTACGTTTAACGTTTGGATCGTTTAAACCAACACTACAAGCGAAGAATTATGTCAATTTCTACGACGATCAAAATGTCAATTGGTCAGTGAAATTTTCTTCCGAGACTCAAGTTGTGGAATTTATGCGGCAAGTGTTTTTAACAAAGATTCATGTAGAAATCTGGAGTGGAAGTAAGACTTCATTTCATACTTTGATTTCGGATGATTTGAATTATGTGAATCCCGAAAGTTTTAGTGTCAATCTTGGGGATACAGTTGCTATTGCATTTAGTGCTTGGCGTATTGTTGGTAATTCTTTATCATTACCATCAGATGTGATTACGAAATATGCACCATTTGAAAAGACACGAGAGGGAGAATTACGTAAATTTTGTCTTGGAGATTCAAGTGAACGATTGAAAGCATTAGAAGAAGGAATTGTAGGCATGAAAAAAGGAACAAAACGAATGGTTTTAGCACCACCTAGTAAAACAAATGGACAAGATTGGTATTTGTTTGAAATTGAGCTTGTAAAGACGAAACGAGGCACTACCACATCACGAAAAGTTGAAGAAAAAGAAGTTAAAAATGACAAGAAGATCAGACGACGTACAAGTAGTCAAATTGAACGTCATGAGGAACATTTCGAGACTTTACCACGTACTCGTGATGTTGTACCATATGCTGATAAGGAAATGGAATTAAAAGAATTGCGATTGTTACAACGAGAACAAGAATTGGAAGCTCAAACACGTGCTTTTGAACGTGAACGATTGCATGGATTATCTAGTTTTGGAGCAATGAATTTAAATGCCACGAATTCATTAGGAACTTCCTCTTCATTCTTACTTTCAACGAATCGAACAACTGAAATGATGTTATCCGAGTTAAATACTAAACTTGATTATCTCATTCGAATGGCACCTGGTATATCGTCGAATGGAGCAGGATCAAGTGATGTCATGGCTGTCATTCGTGGTGTGGAACGTCTAGCGAATGAAAATGATCGACTTTTAACACAAATCAATGCCCAACATCAACATCAAACCTCGTATGAAAAACGATGTGAAGATCTTTTAGATCAAACTCAACGACTTCAGCAAGAAAAACGAACTTTACAAGAACGTTATGAATCGATCATGAAGACACAAGTTAATGTTACTTCGGAATTAAGTGCTTTAGCAAATGCTCGGGATGCAGCTGTGACTCAAACGAATCGTCTTCATCAAGAATATCAACAATTATTAACAGCATATTATCAATTACAACAACATGGTACTGGAATTGAAACCGAAGAACAAAAGCAAGCCATGACATTTGAACGTGAAGCACGTATACGAGTGGAAAAGCAATTAGAAAACGAGATTCAAGCACGTTTACTTGCAGAACAAGAAGTAAGTTTAACAAAGAAACAACATGATGTAGCACTTCAAGTCAAGACATCTGAACTGTCAAATGTCATTGCACAATTCGAACATCAAGTACGTTCACTTGAAAATCAAGTGAATGATGAACGAGTACAAGTTCAAATGGCTAGAAATGAACAAACAAAGCTTCAAGAGATGCTAATTGAATTACAACATGAAAAAGATCAAATCAGTGAAGAATTGAATGTTTCATTGCATCGTTTGGATGAGTTTGAAACGAAAGCAAGAAATTCCGAATCAAATGATGAAATTCGTCATTTGGAACATGAAATGACAGTGTTACAAGAAAGAATCAAAGAATTAGAACAAGAACAAACGACAAGTGATAAAGTTCAAGAAATTGACGTTTCTGAACGTCTTGAACTTGTTGGAATGTTTAAAGATTCAATCACTGAAATGTTTTATCGTTTTCAAGATTGTTTTGAAGAAGAAACAGCAGTAGATGGCAAACAAGTGCTTTCTATTATTCGAAAAGTCTTGAAATCAAGTACAAAACGAATTGTTGAGCAATTACAAGAAGAAAAAGAAAACGAAGTTGAGAATGATACGAAAAGTTTCGATGAAGAAGAAGAGAAGGCTCATCTTTCTGTCGCGACAGAAACAAATGTTGATGGGACAGAAAGATTGGACACGTAGTGAGTTTTAGTTAGCATTAAAACGTAGGTTAAGTTCATTTTAATCACAAGAATCAGATTGCAAAGAATGACTGGTACAATTAACACGAGTAAGAAAAAAACTGTACGCATGGCAACGATATTTTCGCAAATGTTACACGAGTGTCCAGTAGCTGTACGCATGGTCGATTGTCTACAGTGTTGCATGAAACGTTACTGATCGAGTCATTTTTTTCCTTGTTTTGATTCTTTAGATTCAAGTGTACGGGAAATGTGTCGCTGAGCTTTCTGGTGGCATCAATCGTCATGTATGTGAGAAAGAATTTCAAAACCTTCGTCTTTGTTTTAATCGTGTAGCTCGCGATCGTCGCGTATAGTTGGCAGCGATTCCCAAGCGCGAATTAAATCGATGAAATAGTACCATGTTTTGTCAAAATTTGCATCTCTTGTCCCCATTTTCTTGTCATTTTGAAATTGGACGCACAGAAGACACAGGTTTGGACAATGGATGTCGAGAAGCGAAGATTAAGCAAAGAAACAAGTGAGAAGGAGGAGAAGAGAAAGGAGGAAAACGTTGTGAAGTATCAAGAGATGGAGACGTTTGGGGAAGATGCGATGCCACGTGATCGTACAAGTCTCGAGATCGAAAATAGACGATTATATGATCTCGAACGTATGATTGAACTCGAGATAGCACCAGATTTTGTATCAAGTTGTGAGATTTTAGAATCAATACGTCAAATAGAAATCAAGAAAGCTCAAGCAGCAAAAATTCGACGAAATGATGCTGCAAAAAAAGTGTACGACTATGTAAGTACAAAAGCGGCGGCATCGTACATTTTTCGTTGTCAGGAATTAAAAAGGAAAATGACTCAAGAATTTCAACAAGAAGTACATCGACTTCAAACAGCGAAAGATGGTGTAAGTGTCATGAATCGTCGACGTCGAACTGTACGAAGTGACACTTCAATCCGACGTCGACGTATCTCTACAATTGAAAAAACATCAACTGAAGAAATGGATGAAAAAAAACAAATGGAACAATTTTTCAGTCGTTCATCCATTTTTCAACCATTGAATGTTCAATTAACATTTCAAGAACAACAAGAAGATTTCAAAACAATTGAAAAAACAATTGAAAATCGAAAGAAACGATCGAAACGACGAATTTATACACGTCGTTTTCCTTCTTTTCAATCACTACAATCGTCAAAAACAACGACACAATGGCATCGATTACATTATAATCCTCAAATGTTACAAGAAGGACAAGAAGTTCAAGTATTTCAACGTCAATGGAGTTCAAAAGTGAATGATAAATCAGATCCATGTGTATTGTCGGGTATTCTCACAGCAATTACACGTACACACGTTTACATTCTTGCACCTACTGGTCGATTTGAATCTTTTCATGTTCGGGATTGTCTTCTTGGTACATTATACGTCCATGCACTTGAAAACTAAGAGTTTTTATGTCGAATAATGTCTTGACCACCAAGATATGGTCGTAATACTGTTGGAATAACAATTGTCCCATCTTCTTGTTGATATGTCTCCCATAGACTAATTAAAAGACGAGGAATTGCACAAGCAGTACCATTCAATGTATGGACAAACGTTGTTTCACTTGAATGTTTCTTGAAATCTTTGTGTCGAATATTTAATCGACGTGCTTGATAATCGGTACACATGGAGATACTAGAGACTTCACCATACGTTTGACGACCAGGCATCCAAGCTAAAAAATCATATTTACGATATGCTGGAGCTCCTAATTCACTTGTTGCCATGTTCACAATTTGATAATGTAAACCAAGTTCAGTATATATTTCCATTTCAATCTCGACCATTTCATCAAAAAAGACTTGACTTTGAAACTCATTCGCACAAAAGCCAAACATTTCCACTTTACTAAATTGATGAATCCGATAAATTCCACGTGTTAATCGTCCACCATGTCCAATTTCCGTACGAAAACAATGACTTAAACCTGCATATTTCAATGGTAATGATGTTGTTGGAATCACTTGATTACTTTTCATGGCTGCAAGTGTAATTTCCGATGTTGCTGTAAGACACAAGTTGGAATTTGCTAGGGAATACATTTGTGTCGCTTCACCACGTGGTTGAAACCCACATCCTTCAATTAATTTTTCATGAGCTACATCAGGTGGAAAAATAATTGTAAAACCACGTGCTTGTAACTTTGTAAGCGTATAATGGATCAATGCAAGTTCCATCATTGCTCCTTCATTACATAAGTAAGTGAATTTCGATTCAGCTACTTTTGCACCCAATTGTGTATCAAAGAGACGTAAGTGAAGACCCAAATCAGCATGATCTTGTGGTGGAAAATTAAACGTAGGTCTTTCACCATGAATAGAAACAACTTGAGACTCATTCACACCACCAATTGGAACATTTGGATGTGTATTATTGGGTAATTTCAATGCTTCAAGCTCCAATTCAGTTGATACATGTGTTAATTCAGTTTCAAGACGTAGAATTTCTTGCTTTAGTGTTTGTCCACGTCTTCGAATCGTGTTCATTGCTTCGGATGTTGTTTTAGTTGTTTGCTGTAGTTCTTTTGCATGTTTATTACGTTCATTCCGTAATACATTGACAGTATGACGTAATTTCACTTGCTGTTGATATAATTCAACAACACGTTGTGGATTTCCATCACTACATCGTTTCTTGACATTCTCAATTGCATTATCAACATGTTTCACAAGTGTTTTATAATCCAATCGTGCTTTAATGTAATTGTGGGAATTACTTGATTGATCTACATCATGTAGAGATGAAGTAGCAGCGTTTAATGATGTAGAGAAGGATGGACGTTGATAGATGGAAGAGAAGGAAGACGCAAAGGAACGACGTGGTAGGAGAGATCGAAGCATGGTGGCCATATATGAGGATTATGTAGTGTACATCAGATTTGATATTATCGTACTTAAGATGGGAAGATAAAAGAAAAACCGGTATGAAACTGTATTGAATGAGTAGATTGTCATTCTCTACATTCATTCTTACCATTTGTCGATAAAGCGGCCAAAAGTGTTTCGATTTGAAGCTCGAGGTTTGGAGAACGAAGTGTCAGAGTCACGACGTGAGTTTCGACGGTTGTATTGGTCACGATCATTGCGTTTCCAGTTCTGTCCATTCTTTTGCCCGTCAAATCGATTTGTTGAACTTTGACCAAACCGGTTATTGGTAAAGTTGCGCGAAGGTTTGCGTCCATTTCGTCCATATCGACCAATAGTATTGTTCATTCGATGAGTTGTTTTCTCCACAACTAGTTGCGAGAATTTACTTGCCACTTTGACTTGAACATTTGGCGCTGCAATTGCAAAATGATCTTGTAATTGTTGCAATTTCCCATGTGGAATATCAAAAACAAATGTTCGATCATCAAGTGGATGAATGTCCGCACGATCGTCCAGAACATCAACAAGTGTACGATTAAGTTCACGTGCGTTCAAATCTCCTTCCACTTGAATTGTTTGCATTCGATGACGTCCTGTAAGCATTGAAAATGTCATGATTTTCTTGGAATCAAAACCACATAAAACTGCTAATGCTGCACTTAATCCATTTGCTCCATTCTCTTCAATCATTCGATTCGCAACGTCATCAAATAATTCACGTGTTGAATTCGATACCATTCCAAGTTGTTTAGTAACATCAGCTAAAGCATGTGTGATCATTTCTTCAGGATGTGGTAAGGAAACATGTTGAAATTGAAATTTATAACGTCGTTGAAAATCCAACATTTCATGAGCTTCATTTCGATCAAAAAACACAACATTCGTACCCGAACGTCCAGCTCGTCCGGTACGTCCAGCACGATGAACAAAACTTTCTTTATCATTTGGTAAACGATATTGTACAACAAGATCAACATTTGCAATATCAAGACCACGTGCTGCAATATCCGTACAGACTAAAGTCTTGACTTTTCCAGTTCGAAATCCATTCATTGTTGTTGTACGCATTCCTTGAGATAAATCTCCATGTAACACTCGAACATCTTGACTTGCTAATGTATTAACAATATCATCAGCTTCTTGTTTTGTTTCAGTAAATACAAGAGTTTGACCATCTTGTCCATGAAATCGTAAAAGTGTCGCTAACATTTCAAGTCGATCATGTCTTGAAGCATGAATTGCTTCATGTGTGACAGTATTTGGTACATGATTCTCATCAGTTCCAACAAGATCAATCGTAACGGCATTTTTAAGAAACTTTTGAGCCATTTGATTCACCCACTTTGGAAATGTAGCAGACCACATGATTGTTTGACCATCCGTTCGAATATATCCAAGAAGTGTCTCTACAGCTTCTTGAAAACCAAATTTTAACATCATATCTGCTTCATCTAATACTGTGATATCAATCTCATCAAGTATTAACGAGCCTTTTGTCACCAAATCTTGAATTCGACCTGGTGTTCCAACGAGAATATCAACCCCACGACGTAATTGAGATTCTTGATACGTGTACGATACACCACCAACGACATTTATTGTACGCAATTGTGGTGCAACACGATGAATTTGATCGTGCACTTGTTGGGCTAATTCACGTGTTGGTAATAATACCAATGCTTGAGGGTTACGTGTATCCTTTTTATTGGCAAGAATCGTCTCAATTATTGGTAAGGCAAATGCCAAAGTTTTACCAGACCCAGTTTTCGAACGACCCATAATATCGGTACCTTTCATCATTAAATCAAAAGACTGCGTTTGAACTGGAAATAAATGCGTAATACCCGCACGAAGTAAATGACGTTGTGTCTCTTGAGATAACGCAAAGTCTTGAATTGGTTTTTGATCGATAAAACCTTCCAGTGGTTCAAGGATCATGTCTTGAGTTTCTTCGACTTGAGGAATGATATTCTCGATGGTATTCATGTTAACAGGTGATGAGGAGTACCATGCGTAACTTGGTACAGTTGCAACAATGCGTACAGATTGTAAAGAATTGGACGTGGGTACAGCATGACGCAATAGTATTGTACTGGAGCGACGAGCAAGACGACGAAGGGAGACAGCAAGCGGTAACATCTTGAACGATAGGCGATGAAATAAGTGAGACAAAACGAGTGGAACGAAACGAATTGGGTGGTTCTCCTTGATCTTAATTTCACTATTGCTTTCGAAACAATACAATATCGTATTTAATGAGAGTGTAAACTGATGAGTCCTGAAGTAGCAACTACATTTTGGTCGACAAGTTCAAGAATTTTAAAAACGATATATTGCATTATTGTAGAAACAAATTCAGATTAAACTAGTCCATATGTCTTTCCAATTTTTAATACAAGTCTTTGTACATCTTTATGTCATGGTTCCATATGTGAAAGCGAAGTGATGATTGGATCAACAATGGTGGTGAGAGAGGATGTATGTGCGCTGAGATATTTGTTACATGTAACCAGCACCCTACACATTATAATATAAAATTGCCTTTTGTCAGTCTTGCAAACACTTTCGCCACATTATCACGCTACATTTGTCTTTTTCAATCATAATGCGATTTGATAGGCTCAACGTTGAGTACCTGGTAGAGTCCACAACCATTTCTCAACGTGTTGTCCACTCAAACCGCTGATCGAAAGTCGGGTCTTACAATTAGTCTATTCTCTTAGTCTTGATCTTGAGCAGCCACTAAATATGCAAAGTATGCTATTTATTATGACAGACTGCCAAAATCACACTTTCATTATAAGATATGGACGCGCTATTGCTTCATTGAAAGCATGACGTAATTTTAAGCCATTTTACTTACCTCATCCAGCGAGAGAGATTTTTTCAGTCTCGGCTCGCAATGATCTTAGTGCTCAACACAAGAGAACACACGGCATACTCCATATGTTCCAGTACCGGACTCCCTTTAAGTCGCTTTTTAAGACGTGTCTCACTAAGGTATTATCAAAGCTGTTGTGCGCTTCCAGGTAAGCAGTTACCGCTTCCGGACCTCTGGTCGCCAGTTCTCCGATCCCATTGAGACCAACGATAGTCAAAGGCTTAATAAGCTAATCAGTCGCTTAGCAAACATGTGCGTGAATGTTTTATGCTCCAAGCTGACGATACAGACCTTTCACGACTTGGTTGTGGATTAAATACTAGTGCGACCAACAGCGATGGGTGGTTGAGTATATTGCGCAGAGAATGCGGTTTTTTACTATTTCGCATTGACTAACGCACAGAGATTTAGATGCGTATGATAATACAATCGAATTGCAGCTGAAGCAACTATCGAGTCTGTTCTGCCATTGTAGAAGTGATATATACGTTTAACCATAAACGTCATTTCACCTTTACTCCGTTCTACATAAGTCAACCGCCCGCTAGAAGCGAGCAACACGCGGTGAGGCGTATTATTTGACCAAAGCTTTCCTTTAGAAAGTAAGTGTACACGGACGGGCAATTTTCGCTATACTTTATGACCGCAATCTTGTATTATTATAGCCAATAGGCTTTTAACTCCCTTACCTTGCTAAGTACTTCAATTTTGATACAACAGAATTGACAGGGGATAAACAACTATACAGGGTGTACAGTCGATGCGAGACACAAAAAATAAAAGGTCTACAATGTGTAATGGAACCTGGCCCATTGCATATGGCTAGGCGGTCCGCGCTCGAGAATGAGCACTGACATGCAGTATCTCGATAAAAAAGAGTTCTCACAGTGAAGTGATTTGAAGGGATAGATATCGCATTTGTTTGCACCGCCTTATGAGGCCAATCGAGCACGCTAAAAGTTCTTTCTCGCCCGTCATGAGAGGCAAGAACTAGTCGAGAATGGTACTCTTGATACCGCAATGATGTCCAGCCCTCCCTCTTCCCCGCACAGCGGTTGTGATGACAATTTCTCGAGGGGTCTTTGAGCGGATCAGCTTGCACGCAGACTGCCCGCGTTTTAACCTATTAGATTTGGAAAAAGCGGTGGGTGTATCATTTGATGCAGCAACAACCATTATGCCGCAAGAGCAGGATGTAATGGAAGTGGTAACTTCACGATCGCGCCCTAGCGATGGACGATCTGCCATGCTGAGGTAGACTAGA